TATCACAGAACTCAGACTTATATCACTGATCTTCTTCCTGTATAATATGCCATGGTTTTTTATCTTCTTGACATAACATAGAACATGCTTCAACACTGCTCAACATGCTTTGTATGAATGCAAGTTAAAACATGAGAGATAGTTAACTGTGAATGCCAGATCTGATCAGCTGCTTGAGATCAAATACTGCAATAATTTCAATTCTTGACAATATCTTATAGCTGTAAAGTTATCATTCAATTCATTATCCTCATCAGGTGAAAACTTCAGTTGTATGCCTGTCATCATTGAGATCTCCGTAGGATTCATCTTATTCATGTCAAAATCTTCAAGAATCTTCTCAATATAATGACTCTGTGTAACTGCTAGATCATCAGTTCTCTAGCATTTAATCTTCATTTCAAGATATAACTTGATCTCTTTAACATTCTTTGTCTCAAATCTCTTTGTGATCTCTTTCAATACTCAGTCTAATTACTGTTCTTGAGATCTCATCATCTGACAATCATCAACATGCAATGTCAGATAAATCTTGTAAACAGAGTGATATAGAAATTCATTATTATAAGATGATATCTTAAATCTCAATGTAGTGAGGTGTTTCATTACTAGGAAATATCATACTCTCATAGCTTGCTTCATTTTATATAGACTCTGATGAAGTAGTCTCATTAAGTTCTCTCTGTCATGCTTAACACCTGTGAGTAGTTGCATATAGATCATCTCATTCTGTGATAGTATATCATTCAAAAACACAGATACATAGTCAATCAATTTAATCTTTCATTCTTTAACAGTTGATATAGTGAATAGACTATGTGATGTAGATTCTGATATCACTGCAGTATATAATCTTGTATAATGAATACCCTGCTATTGTAAGAACTCTCTAATCACTCAGCAAGCTCTAAAGTGAATGATTTCTTTCTTATTGTTAAATTTCTGATCATATACTCATTTATCTGTAAGAATATTCATTTCCAGAGTCTTCTCAACAACAATATATATCTTCTTCTATTCAAATATCTTAATCTTCTTTTTCATTGTCTCATATCAATAGTCTCAGTCTGAGCTTCTCTTGACTTTTATCAGTGTAGTTGATTAATCTATCAGAATACTTAGAACAGAATCATTCTTATTAACAGAGTCTTTGAACTCTTCATTCATGACAAGCTGTGTCTCATTATCTAGAAGATAGATTGAATCAATTGCACTCTCTAAGTTCTTATTTATAATCATCTTCAAAACATCTGACTTTTTCTTCATTAGATGTTATAGTAAGTAGTGCTGTCATCTCTCTCTGACATTCAGAATATTCAATTTATTAGACAATTTATTGAATTCTCTCATCATATTTACAGGTGTATTTGCACTCATGTCAAGAGCTTCATTAAATATGACATCTCATGCAATCTCAAGACAACATGCAACAGGATTTCATACACAATATTAGTGTAATTCTTGATATTCAATCAGCTATTATTCTCTGCTGTCAGTTCTATCTGCAAGCTTATTTAACACTTTCAAATTCTTCTTGTAGACCTTGCACTCTCATCTTCATATTCAATGAACAGAAGATTGCATCTCAGTTCATGCTTTAAAAGATGTAAGTGATGTTTCTTTCTTACATTCAAATATCTTTGTTAATATTGAAAATGTGTTGATCATCATAATCATAGCTTGTATTACTTCATCTCAAAGTTCTCTTTCTAATTCACTATCAAATAGTAGACTTTACATCTTTTCTACTACTATTTAATTTGTGTGTTCTGCTGAGTCATTTAATTGTGATGTGTCAGATGTAGTCATTTCATACATTATTTCTTTGCTCTGACAGTAGGTCTTAAGTTCTTGACTTTTGAACTCTTCTTCATCATCTCAGTGTAGAGTTTCAACTCAATATTATGTAGTTATCTCAATATCTGTGATGAAGTTTATTAATCTTACAGTAGATTCTCTCTTTCTTATTATAAGAATTATTCATCTATAACAGATTGTATCATCTGTTATACTCAATCAGTAGCTTACATTCTCTCTAGTGAGAGTATCATTCTCATTAAAAAGTGTTTTTCCACCCTCTGCCAGATCAATGAAGAATCTCATTATCAGCTTAACAGCTTGTATCATAGATATGAAGGTTGAACATGTCATTTTTATCTGTACACAGATCTTACAGAATGACAAAGCTCTGTCACTCTTTATTCTCATTTCTAATCATGAATCTGTCACTATTTTTGCAATATCTATGAGATTCAGATGTTCTGGCTTTTGATGCTATTGCATCATTATAAGTTCTATAATCTTTGTATTATTTCTTTCAGATAGTGTCAATATTGTATCATCTTTCATCTATAATGTATTCACAGGTTCAAAATCATCATTGAGTGTAGCAAACTGAATCAAGTCTCTGTATATAACCAGTCTTTTCATCTCATAGATATCATTCTCATTTAATCTTGCTGTAAATGAGAACATGCAGTCAGAAGATATAATCAATATAGCATGATTATTCTCATATATCAACTGCTTATAGATATAACTCTGATATACAAGCTTACTCATACTTATGAGATTCACTTCTAACTTTGAGACATAGTGAACATTATTTAACAGCATATTCACTTCTTTCACTGAAATCTTTGTATCTTCTATAGCTGCAGTAGAGATCATCATTCTGTCTGTTATTTTCAACATCACTTTCACCTTCTGAGGTTTTTTCACAACAAGATCTCTGTAAGGTGTGACATGAGTGTCTAATTCAGAGTCTAGAATTCAGATATCTTTTCCTGTCTGATCACTCATATAGGTCTTTTCTTTGATGCAAAATACTTGCTTTATGACATTGTGAATAGAAGCAGTATCTGTATTCTTCACATTCTTATCTTTATTCTTGTTTCTATTTGTATTGAAGTTTGAAGAACATTTCTCAGAGTATTTCTTTCAACAGTCAGTCTGAATATAATTAATCTTTTGATAATAATAGCAGGTTCTCACATCATTACTTCTACATTCAGGTTTGAATTCAGTGTTCTTATTCTTATCATTGTCTTTCTCTTTGTTCTTGCCTTTCTTATTCTTATCTTGTGTGTTGTTGATAGGATTTCTAGACATATCAGTATTTGTTTCATTCACAGCAGAGAGCTGTAAAAGAATATCACAGTATAGATCTATAAAATCATTCTCTAAGAATTGAGTATTATCTTTGTCAATTTAATTCATTCAATTTCTTATAAATGAGGCTCAATCTCTGTTAACTTCTATAAGCAGTCTGTTAAAAAACATGACATCTGAGATCTCATATTCTAAACAGATATAATCAGTTCTTATGATAATCAGACATTCAATGAAAGTGCAATCTGAGTCTTTTAACTTAGCAGTCATACTAATCAGTTTCTCAAACAGATAAGTTCTGTGAACAGCAGATCTCTCAGAAAAGTTATTCTCTATAATATTTCATAGAGTATAAGCAGACAACTTGAATTTCTTAAGTATAGTGAAATGAGTCTTAGTCTGTGAGACAATTGCAGATCACATGTAATTGTATAATCAAAGATTGTATTCTTTTCAGAAACATTGCATATTCATGATAGCATTCTCATTAAGATTATTATCTTTAAGAATATCATCAGTTTCAGACTGTTCTACAGTTAAAAGAATTTCCTCTTTTCATATTGAGTAGTTAATGAATTCAGTGAGAATAATTGATCTTTTAATGAGTCTTACTTAACTTCTGAATTCTTCAAGAACTTTTATTATAACAGATATCTTCTCTTTTTATTAAAGATATTCTGTCAGATTCACTCTTATCTCATCACTTACAAGAGTCTCATCTCTACTAATCTTCATACACTCAATCTCATACTGAAGTCTTGCAATTTCAAGTCTTATACAAGTCTTCTCACTTACTGAGTCATTGTTGTTTCAGTCACTTAAGTCTTCTGCATTATCTGACATCTCACTGATATCTTCAACTGAGTCTTTATATATATTGAACTTATCAGACTATTCTTCTGTGATAATTTCATTCAGCTTAAACATCTCTGAAGTCATCTTCTGATTCATTATTGATATTAACAGTGATCTGTGATCTTGTATTTACTACTCTGATGTTTTCTTATTTCTTTGTCTTGAAGATATGTATTCTTTTGTTAAGTCAGACATTCTCTCAGATCTTAGATTAATCATGAGTTCAATCACTTAATAAATCATCTAGGCACACTTGTAATGATGTGTGAAGATGTCAATTGCACATTATTTTGCAGCTTTTCATTGCATAGAGGGCTTCATAACCTCTTGAAGGATAATGTTATTATATTGTGTTCTAACTACGCGAGTTACACTAAATAGGTTGGGGTGGCACGTGACTAGGGTAGGTGTAGTAATCACCAACAAAGTTTTCTGCTTCCTGCCTTGCTGTGCTAGCTTGTGGGAACGGAAGGATTAATAAGCCGGGACATGTGACCTGACAAAATGATGATAATTAACAATGATAAATGCAGATAGCCGCCCAGTATATATCTATATATATATTATATCCACGTCATTAAGTATGAACATAATAAAAATAATAAAAAAGTAAAAAAGTAAAAGAATACCACCTCTAAAAACAAAAATAAATGTGAGCGGTGCTTTTTGGTGTTCTCGACGACGCGTATATTGAAAATTGGGTTTGTGAGGTCAGGGGTGGTGATGATAGGAATCGGCCTTATAATAATAGATCATAACCAAGGTATGGTCCCACCAATAGTACCAGTGTCTTGTTTTGATCGAATAAAAAATCCACGTAACCCGTAGCCCGTAAAATAGAAGTTGAGAAGATAAAAGTAGGAAATAAAAATGGACAAGAAAGAAAGAGCTGAAGATAAAATAGAGATATGGAGAAGATATATTTATTCGGTTTTTGAAATAGGGGGAATTGAGGAAACACGAGAAAAGTAGATCGATAAGAGCCGCCAGGAGGAAAGCAATTCGACACAAGGTTAATCTGAGCAAGTCAGAGTTCAAGTGGCAGCAGCAGCTTTCGGATCACCTTCTGCTATGCTTTTATCGTCTTTCTTTTCTGTGTCTTGCGGACTTTTACCACCGCCATCCGCATTTTCAGCAAGCTTCGATTCAGCAACTTTCAGCTTCTCCTTGGTCTCCGAGAGCTCCCGTTGTAACGATTTGATGTAGACAATTGCCATCTCAACAGTGCTTGCCTTGCTGATCGTTTGTGTTGAACTTGGCTTATCAGAGGATGATTTGCTGGTGGTGTTGCTGTTCGTTGCGCCATTGCCACCATCACCGCCGGCACCGCCGGCTCTGTCTACTTTTTCACGCTCTCGTATTAGTGACGGTGGCAGTAAGCCTTCGATCTCCTTGAGTGCGGTATTGATGCGATTTCGACGACCCTGTTCGGCTAGTTTGTGATTCGTCCGTTTGGAGCTTAGGTTTTCCGCCAGCGCATTTGGATACGAGACGCCTGGTAGAAGAGTACCCTCAATGATGTGTTGGTAATTGGATTTCGAGGCGAGGTAAAGAGCTGACGTTTCTGCGTTGATACCTACTATAGTCGAATGGTCAGTTAATTCGTTGTGGCCGATATTAAATAATTAAAAAAATATATAAGAAGGATAAAAACAAGACTAGCTAGGGTAGGAGTGAGGCATACCATCACCGCGAATTAGGGGTTGAATGCTAGGGCTAATTTTCGGCCGCAATGCCGGACTAACTTGCGAGGAGCTAACGCTTTGTCGTTTCTTGGACACTCTGCTATTCGGTTTTGAATCCGCCCGCTTGGTGCCAATCGGCCCAGTTGGAGATGCCGTAGCAGCGATTTGGGGGCTTGGTGTAACAGAGGCGATTGATGGACGTTCTGAAGACCCATTTTTGGCTGGGTTCAACTTGGGCGTCTGTTCAGCCGCGATCGTTGGAGTTGCTTCACTGTTCGTCACGATTGTTCCAGATGACGCGGTAGCAAGTTCAGAATTTGAGGAAGCGGCTTCAGGCAACGATATATCTTCCATCGCCTCGTCAGGATATTCGTTAATAACGATGTTTCCGCTTCTTGAGAATTGATGCTCTGAACTTTGCGTAGGCTGGGATCGTCGCTGTAGTTTCATCAAAGTAGCAGGCGTTGCGGCTTCACGGGCAATTGCTTCAGATCTTGACTCTTGGGTTCCAATGCACGGAGACCTTGCGGATCGTGGGAGCGCAGGCGGAGGCATCAATGGTTCTGACAAGGGTTCTGGGGAAACAGAATCTTGTCCTGAGCTTTCCGTGCTTCCTGGATGGCGATACCCATCGACCTGGTTTACTGATAGTCGACTTGAGTTCTTATCATGGTTCGCAAAAAAGGTAGCATCATCCGACGGGCCGGATAAGCTAGGTTTTCGACGACTAAGGGGACGAACTAACGGAGATTGACGAACTAGTCGTGGACCGGCCCGAGTCGAAAAGGACAGTTTTCGTCGCTGTTTGCGTGCGAGCCCCGGAGACGATGGAGCAGAGGCGCTTGGAAGTTGATTGCTCATTTCTACCGGCGAAGATATAAAACTCATATCTGGAGTATGTGATGTGGTGCCATTGAACATATACCCATTGCCGTTCGCATTTCGCGCTTCCAGAGCTGGTGACGTGAGGGGAGTAAAGTATTCACCAGGAACAGTATATTCTGGCATACAGAACTGCTGTTCTAAAGGGGTCATCGCGGGGGAAAGCGAAGGGGTAAACGCGCTCTGTAATATTTGATAAAAGAGTCAGAAAACCACTCCTTTCATTTTCAACTTGGGGTTTTAATCATACATGGTCATCATTGGGTCTTGCATAGTACTCGTAGTGTCGATGACTATCAGTGTCCAACCTGGAAAGCCCATGAGGAATTCCGGCATGCATCTCGGCACTGTTGGGGGTAGGCGGAATATATGGTCTCTGCCCATAGCTCTGTTGCGGGAGGAAAGCTTGCTGTTTCTGGGCGTAGAATTGTGGTGCTGCGTTCGCGTCTGTCGTATTTATGCTGCCTTGAATGCCCATTTGGTGGTGCAACTGGTGAAGCTCAGGTTGATAGTCCGGGGCTTCAGAAGTATTCTGCATCTGCTGGTGATGGGCCATTCCAGGGGGTTGAACGTCCTGCATTGATGTTGAAATATCCGGGGCCGAAGCGTGAATGGCATTGTGCTGCTGGTTCACGACATCGTCCAAGTCCGCGAAGTTGAAGTTGAAATCCAGATACTTTGAAAATTCCTCTTCTCCAGATACAGGAACAAGAAGGTCCTCAGGCATGGTTTGGGGCCAAGCGGGCAGCGACGTGTCTCTATCCATTGCCATGATTGATATATCTCGGGCTGCTCAAGAAACCACAAACGGTATCGAGAAGAGGATACAGAGAGACAAGAGACAGATACAACACACAACCTCAGACAGGGCAGATGACAGCCCGATGGCCCTGGGAAGGTGGTCAAAAATTGCGGGTGGGGAGCCGCAGGTGGCTGCGGCGGGAACTGAGAGCGCGGACCTAGTTGGTGGGATCAATTTTCGCAGCAGGCCAACGAGGGACTTGGAAACAGGGAGACCACAGGAGAAAACAGGAGAATGGAATCTGGGGGAGGAGGTCCAAAAAGCAAAGAAGCAGAGCGCGCAAAAAGGAGCGAACAGAAGAACACTGACTACTGGGTGGAGGTTGAAGCCCTGGCGGCGAGTAGAGGTTGAGGTTGGCGCAAATCGGGCCCGTGGTGAGTTTTGTCGGGATAGTGCGGGACGATGGGACGCTCCGCGTTCTTGGCCGGCGCCGTGGCGGCGTTGCTTGGTTGGTTTTTCCACAGACCGACGTCACATAACGGCGTGACTAAGAAGGATACTTCGTAGTTATGGTAGTGTATACTTTTCCTTCCATCTTCCTCCTCGATGCTTCAAACCTTTTTGAGGTTAAGTTACATCTCTTGTTCGCTAATGCTGACGCTGGAGCTAGCAAATAGGGCTGGATGGAAGATTTTCACCAATGATAAACCTCGCAGAGGTGGTCAGAACCTCCGTTCTATCATCGCTACTCCGTAGTTACTCCTACTCCGTAGAGTTTCAAGAGCGTCAGAGGTTGCTCAAAATAGCCCTGCACTTGATGCGCGGAGAAAGCAAACTAAACCCCCAAGTTTCATTATTTTCTTTTTCTATCTTGCCGCCATCCGCCCCGAAATTCAGCACAGAGCAACCCAAGAAGCAAGTCTGTCTGTCGGCTTTCCCTTTTCTGTGGAAGAAACTAGCCGGGAGTTTCAGTGTGGGGTGTGCTCGCTGGCTTCGCGAATCCCAGCCGCGTGGCGGAAGGACGTGAAGTAGCGTCGAAATCGACAAGCTCCATGCGGCATGGTAGGATTATTTTGGGCCGCGCTAAGCTGGAATAACATGGGTTGTGCAAACCCTGGCTCGCTACAAGGGCAAGCCTCAAAGAAAAGGCGCTTCGAGGGTTCCTTGTTGATAAACGAAGATTCTATTTATTCAGGGCTCGGGCCCTCTGCCCAGAGGTCTTACATTCCAATCAGTCTGGCCGTCTTCGATATTTATCTTCGAAAAGCATCAGTGGGGTGAGGGTGGCGTTGGGGTTGGGGTTGAGATGGTGGGAATGAGACACCGAGGGGGATTGAAACAGGAAAGCAAAAGGAAGGAGAACAATTATTGTGTGCTCTTGGACTGATTTCTATAAACAATTTGACACAAAGGAACAGCATATCGGCATATCTTTAATCGTTCCTGACAGGGCGAAAAGCAGGTGCCACGAGAAATATGTGTATACTCTGTATATGTGCTATACATGTATCCAAATATTGCATGGATGCATCATGTGGATATTCAAATGATGCAGACAGGTTCGAACAAATCCCCGACAGAGAAATCAAAAGATCTGCAATTCAAAGAAGGCAGAGATCTGATCACACATCAACCAACCACCCTGCCTGTGCAGCCACAAAATTCCTTTCTGCTATGGCAGCACTGCCATTGTTTGTCCGCGTGATTCTCTTTTTGATAGTTTATGGTTAATTGGCACTTTGCACTGTCAAAATCTCAACTCTATGCATAACCATCATGAGGAACTAACTCCCTTCCCTCAAACTTATCTCCCCATCGCCCTATCTACAGCTAAAAACTGCATCATATCAACATCATATCTATTTATTGCAAGCTGGATGAAAAATCAGCATTGAGAGCTGGCAGTTTCTCCCTTTTTGTCTCTGAGGTGCTTACTCACTATTGATTATTGATACTCTCAATTTATCCCCAAGTAGCATGGCACTGGATGAGAGAGCGAGATTTTGCGCAGTCCATTGAGTTGTGTGTGATATAATTCCCTGTCACCCTTTCCACCTCTTTCCTCCAAGCTAATTTGCGACACATTACTCCGTACACATTTTCGCAATAAAAAGCTCAGGCCTGTATAAAATGAGTTATGTAGGTAAAGTTTTCGTAGTCAAACATTTTGCATGATTAAATTATAGATGCTATTTGCGGAGGCTATGGCTACTATATTATCATTTTGAACCTTTCAGTTTCATTGATATTGACAAACTATCTGTATGTGTGTATAGGAACCAAGTGATATTTCCTTTTCTTACATAGGTAATAAAAGCTGCATAATAGAGCCTTCTCACATAAGATACACTACATAAGACGTACATATCTATTATGAATAAAAAACTGAGAGATATGCATGCTTACTATTTCTAATTGGATTAAGATGAATTGACGTCTTAAATGAACAGCTACTCCATTTTTATAATGAAAATCCAAAAGTGAAGGCTTCATAAAATTAAAAAGCTTTATTTCAATAGAAAAACATATGCAAAGAAGAGAAGCTCTCAACCCTCCCTGTCTCTGTTTCTCCCTCAATATGCACATGGAAAAAAAAGGGGGAAAAATAAGGAAACAATAATCAGTCAATCTTCCGAATGCAAACTGGGCCTATCTCCCTCAATAACAGTAACAGTAACAACAACCAACAACCAACCCAGCACATTATGATATCTTCATCAGTTTTTGACACAGCAGGTCCAGCATTGTGACTACATGTAATTAAATGGTCAGAAAATTGGCTATATAGAGAATTTCGTTTTCAGGCACTCTTGGCGGACGCGGGAAATGTAGGAGAGCTCAAAAGGGGGTCTCACGTAGCCGGACGGGGGTAGGTTGGGGGAAGAAAAGGAGGGGGAAGGTGTAGAACAGAAAGAAAAGACATAGTACATACATGTCTGTGCATTGGTCTGTTTTTCGCGTACTGTATTTTTTTAATATGCATCCAAGAGAAAACTTTGTTAGTTAAATTGAACCCTTTTTCACTGCGCTGACATTGAGGAAGAGAGAAAAAAAAAAAAGGTGACCTCAGTCATGCAACTATTGCAGTGGGTTATGATGATAATGAGAAAAGAGAAAGAAGAAAATTACGTGCCGTTCCTTTACCGATGCAAATTGGCGGCTTGGGGTAGCAGACCCGTAGGCACTCCTCGCCTTGGATATTTTGTTTTACCAGGAGTTCTTGTAGCTGCTGTTGGTCTTGGGTGGTGAGTGACACTTGTGCGGACTGTTCGACCTGGCCCATTGGAGCTGGGAGGGCGATTGCAGTTTGTGTTCTGATGAGGGCGAATGTGAGCGTGGTGAGGAGGATGGAGAATTGCATTTTTAATATTTTCTTTTTCTTCGTTCTCTTTCTGTTTTTAAGGTGTGGTTCTTCGGGTAATGGGAGGTGTTTCTTCTTGGGGTTTGAAGAGTGATCCGGTTGGCCCTGGGTTGTAGGACGTGGATATATATAATGGATTGCAAGCAAGCAAGAACTGTCTTTGAAGATGTTGCTGAGGAAAGATGTAAGAACTCGTGAGGAGGAGGCATGGGCCGTTTATATATCAATTTCCGCTATTCGAATTAATCTCTCCCCGGGCGAGAGTGTGGTGCGAAACGAGACGGAAGCATGCAGGCCCTAACTGCCTCCTCTCACTGTTCTAAAAACTCCCCATCCCTATACGTTATAGTTGATGATGCATGCACTGGGGCGGGAGGGGAGGGAAGGCGTACAGTCTGACCCAAATCCTGCGGGGCAGAGGACTTTATATCCCTCGTAAGCAGCAAGTATATGAGCCGCTCGTTTCACTGCGTCTTCAGAGAGAACAAAAAAGAAGGCCTATTTTTAACGGGCGGAGGAGACCGAATATTGTGATAGGGTATGCTTAATCTCCGCACCGGCGCTTCATCATGCAGGGCTCAGCATGCCTAGGTAGCAAAGTGCGAGTTGCTTCAGAAGAAACAACAAAAGGGCCTAGAGTGCCGATTTTATTTCTCGGCGGTGGAAATTGAACAGCAACCTATAGAAGGACGCCGTAGGATTTCACTGTAAGCGTATATGGCGCAACACTCGGGAAACATAATGATTGACGCAAGGCTAATTTCGAGATGTTGCACTGCGGACCTTGGCACATCAAAGCATTATGATCTGTACTCCGTACTCAGGGTGCTATCCGGGTATATATTGCTGTTGCCTGTCAATACTTGTTGTGGATGTTAAGGTGATTAACATGCTATCCGGGATCCGGGTAAATCGAGGCAATAGAACGCCGAGGATGGACTTTTGGTATCATCCGAATAATCCCATGCAAAACTAAATAAAGCTATAATGGCAGAGGATATGGAAGGGATTAAGTGAGCAAATAAAGCTTCTGAAACAGTTGTGCGACCTCTTCGAGAGAGGAAAAAAAAAGAAAGAAAATCCTGATGTCTAGAACTTGGCCAAGAGAGGATGTTTGCGTTTAATCTTCCATTCATTGTTTAATCATGTAAGGGGTTCACATCCAATTTATTTTAAAAATTATTGCCAAGCTGAAGAAATTGAATGTAACTCCCTAGAATGAAGGAAGTTTCTGCAAAGAACAATAGGATTAATGATGCAGATATGACATTGTTCTTATTAGCCTGGCTAAAAAGTCTTTGAAGGCCAAGATAATATCGAGGAACGATTTTGAGGTCAACAACGGCTCCAATGGCTTGAAATATAGCCAACAGTATCAAAAATCTGAATTTAGCAATTGCTTCCATACTTTTGAGTTTGTAGGTCTTTATTTTTTTTATTTTTTTTTTTTATTTTTTTCTCGATATTTCCTCAATCAAATGAGTGATGGATGGCCTAGCCCTGAAAAAGCTTCATTGGCACATGAACTCTCCGTTCCAACAGTGGTTTTCACATCGTAGTCTTCTTGGAACGAGAAGGCGAAAAGGTAGATATCTACCATTATACAGAAGATTCAGGGCAGGGGTAATAATGGATAACTAGTGGAGCACCACCATGGCGGGGATTGACG